GCCCGCCTGAGACATCCTCGAACTTCTGAGCTCTGAGATGCCCTGCGCGAGGTGGTCCGGCCCGTCTCGCCTGAGACATCCTCGCAACTCTGAGCTCTGAGATGCCGTGCGCAAGGTGGTCCGGCCTGTTTCGCACAAGACATTCTCGCAACTCTGAGCTCCCAGATGCCGCGCAAGAGGTGGTCCAGCCTGGGAGCCCAGAAGACCACATGTTACATATCCCCCCTGGGACCCTGGGAGCCCCAGGAGGCACCAGAGAGCTCCAGGAAGACGCAGGACGCCCAGGACAGGCCCCAGGGGTCCCCAGGAGATTCCCAGGAGGCTCCCAGGAGGCCCCTATCAGAACGTGTCAAGTTAGTACACATCCGTTGTCGATTCGTTGATTTCTCCTGCTCTTGTGGCATTTTGAAGAGCCCCGACGGCCACAGGTTAGATATTCCCCCCTGGGAGCCCCAAGAGGCTTCAGGAAACCCCAGGTGGAGTTCAGGAAGCCCCAGGAGGTCCCTAGGAGGAAGCCACAGGAGGTCCCCAGGAGGCCCCAGGAGGCACGAGGAGTGGTCCGGCCCGTTTCGCCTGAGACTTCCTCGCAGCACGTTTCGCCCGAGACACCGGCCCGTTTCGCCTGAGACATCCTCGCAACTCTCAGCTCTGAGATGCCGTGCGCAAGATGGTCCAGCCCGTTTCGCACAAGACATTCTCGCAACTCTGAGCTCCCAGATGCCGCGCAAGAGGTGGTCCAGCCTGGGGGGCCAGAAGACCACATGTTACATATCCCCCCTGGGACCCTGGGAGCCCCAGGAGGCACCAGAGAGCTCCAGGAAGCCGCAGGACGCCCAGGACAGGCCCTAGGGGGGAGCAGGAGATTCCCAGGAGGCTCCCAGGAGGCCCCCTATCAGAACGTGTCAAGTTAATACACATCCGGTGTCGATTCGTTGATCTTTCCTGCTCTTGTGGTCCCCCCCCTATTTTGGGGGGCCCCGACGGCCACATGTTAGATATCCCCCTGGGAGCCCCAAGAGGCTTCAGAAAGCCCCAGGTGGGGTCCAGGAGGCCACAGGAGGCCCAGGAGGAAGCCCCAGGAGGTCTCCAGGAGGCCCCAGGACGCCCACGCAACTCTGAACTCTGAGACGCCGCGCTCGAGGTGGTCCGGCCCGTTTCGCCTGAGACTTCCTTGCAACTCTGGGCTCCGAGATGCCCTGCGCGAGGTGGTGCGGCCCATCTCGCCTGAGACATCCTGGCAACTCTGAGCTCTGAGATGCCGTGCGCAAGGTGGTCTGGCCCGTTTCGGCAAGACATTATCGCAACTCTGAGCTCCCAGATGCTGCGCAAGAGGTGGTCCAGCCTGGGGGGCCCAGAAGACCACATGTTACATATCCCCCTGGGACCCTGGGAGCCCCAGGAGGCCCCAGAGAGCTTCAGGAAGCCGCAGGACGCCCAGGACAGGCCCTAGGGGGGAGCAGGAGATTCCCAGGAGGCTCCCAGGCCCCTATCAGAACGTGTCAAGTTAATACACATCCGTTGTCGATTCGTTGATTTTTCCTGCTCTTGTGGCCCCCCCCCCCCCTTTTGGGGGGCCCCGACGGCCACATGTTAGATATCCCCCCCTGGGAGCCCCACGAGGCTTCAGAAAGCCCCAGGTAGGTTCCAGGAGGCCACAGGAGGCCCAGGAGGAAGCACCAGGAGGTCACCAGGAAGTCCCAGGAGGCCCCAGGAGGCCCCCGCAACTCGGAGCTCTGAGACGCCGCGCTCGAGGTGGTCCGGCCCGTTTCGCCTGAGACTTCCTCGCAGCACGTTTCGCCCGAGACATCGTCGCAACTCTGGGATCCGAGATGCCGCGCGCGAGGAGGACCAGCCCGTTACGCCTGAGACATCCTCGCAACTCGGGGCTCCGAGATGCCCTGCGCGAGGTGGACCGGCCCATCTCGCCTGAGACATCCTCGCAACTCTCAGCTCTGAGATGCCGTGCGCAAGGTGGTCCAGCCCGTTTCGCACAAGACATTCTCGCAACTCTGAGCTCTCAGATGCTGCGCAAGAGGTGGTCCAGCCTGGGGGCCTAGACGACCACATGTTACATATCCCCCCTGGGACCCTGGGAGCCCCAGGAGGCCCCAGAGAGCTTCAGGAGGCCGCAGGACGCCCAGGACAGGCCCCAGGGATCCGCATGAGATTCCCAGGACGCTCCCAGGAGGCCCCCTATCAGAACGTGTCAAGTTCATACACATCCGGTGTCGATTCGTTGATTTTTCTTGCTCTTGTGGCCCCCTCCCCATTTTGGGGGGCCCCGACGGCCACATGTTAGATATCCCCCCCCTGGGAGAAGAGGCTTCAGGAAGCCCCAGGTGGGTTCCAGGAGGCCACAGGAGGCCCAGGAGGAAGCACCAGGAGGTCACCAGGAGGTCCCAGGAGGCCCCAGGAGGCCCCCACAACTCGGAGCTCTGAGACGCCGCGCTCGAGGTGGTCCGGCCCGTTTCGCCTGAGACTTCCTCGCAGCACGTTTCGCCCGAGACATCGTCGCAACTCTGGGGTCCGAGATGCCGCGCGCGAGGAGGTCCAGCCCGTTACGCCTGAGACATCCTCGCAACTCTGGGCTCCGAGATGCCGTTCGGGATGAAGAGGAGGTGGAGGAGGAGGAGGAGGAGGAGGAGGAGGAGGAGGAGGAAGCAGGTTTAACATGCCATGCCAGCCCGCACTGGACGGGCACGCAATCGACCTTGGAAACCGCAGTGGGTCTAAAAACCCTGTTTGGGGATACTGCACTCCGGCTATAATTTTCAAAACTAAATCCCTGCATGTTTAATACATGATCCGCATGCGGAGCATGTATTTAAAACGGCCCTGGAGGGTTACGAGGCGCCCCCCGTGATGGTCCGAGAAGGCCCCGAGACGGCACGAGATAGAGGACAGAAAATACGCCCCGATAAGAGCCACCCCGACACGCGAGGCCTTCAGTCAACGCGCCCAGAGAAGGAATCGAGCAGGGCAGGGCTGCGTAATAAACGCCCAGGGCCATTCAGTAAACGCCATAGTCTGGTACGGGTGATTTTCCCTCCCTTGAACAAGAGCGCTCCGAAACGCAGAAGGTGGCCTAGAGATGTCTCAAGAGGCCTCCAGTGCGCCCCAGGAAAGCTCCAAGAGGCCCCTCGCCCAAGAGGCCAGAATCACTGACGCTACTGAGGCGCTTGAAAAGCGTTTCCCGCGGCCAACGTAATCCGATATCATTCGACAACATCGCACGGACACGAAACCCGTGTGTCACGGAAGAACAACGCGTAGTTGACAGGGGGCCCCTCTTGCAAGAGAGGCCGGTTCCCAGAGTCTGGCGCCGGCGACACCGCACACTCAGGAGAGGAAAAAGCACACAGACACGATTAATCCTCGATTTTCCAGAAAATATGGGAAAATATGGGAAGTGGGGGGGAAGACAGAAACCCAGAAAATATGATTAAATATAGGGAATACTTCTATTTGTGTGTATTTATTTGTGTGTCCTGGGGCCCCTTCACACACGACCGACGAGGCCTGCTGAACGCGCCTGCCCGTGTGGTCGACCCGTGCTCCCTCGCTGCCCGCAGGGACACCCGCAAATGCCCTCTGCTCGGGCCGGCTGCAGCTGCCCGCAGCGAGCCCTCGATGCCAAGAGGGAGGCGCGAGACAAAACGACGCGAAGATCGGGACAAAATCGGATCGGGATAACTCGAAATCTCTGAGAATCGGCGGGTTTGGAGGATGTATTGGGCGCCGCGGCCGCTCCAGAGCGTTCCCGAACGCTCTGAGAGCGCTCCGGAACGCTCTGGAGCGATTTATCCCGATCCTAGCCCTGTTTTGATGCCAAGAGGGAGGCGCGAGAGCGCCTGCGAGACCTGCAGCACGGTGCCGTTGTCCGGCTTCAGGCTCTTCGCCCCCCGGCCGTCGTTGACTTTGAAGAAGGACCTGGGCGCACGGCACGCGAGCAGGAGGGCTGGGATGAGCCCCACGAGGCGGACGACAAGAACGAGGAGGGGTGATGAGGCGGAGTGCAGTGGACACCCATGCCAAGAAACACGCTGCTTGCCTCCAGTGTGCTCTGGGCCACTTGGGCTTCCATGGTCTTGCGGTGGAAAGTGTGACGCTCCTACGCCCAAAGTCGATGGACGTCATGGGGTCTCAGGGCTGGGATTCTCTTGGAGGGCTTCTGGTGGTCAAGCTCCTACTGCAAGATGAGTGAAGTCGAAACGTTGCCGCAAGAGTCGTGCTCAGGTGAACTGCGTGGATTAGGAGCGAGGACGAAAAACGAGGGAGGAGAGAGAAGGAGAAACGAGGACGAGGACGAGGAAGGAGGAGGGAGGACGAGGACGAGGGCGACGAGAACGAGGAAGACCCATGTGATGGCCGACGCAGCACCAAACTCGGCCTGCACTGTAGAGGGCGAGACGGAGGAGCGCCGCACCAGCTCGAGGGGCGTGGGATGAGAACCCGAAAAGGGCGAACCCCTCACGAGGTCGACCCCGCCCGCATGTATGAGCAGGTGGAGGATGACGAAGAATACGACGCAGACGAGGGACGCCATGGCAAACACAACATCCAACTTAATCGGCATGGAGGAGGAGCAGGAGGATGGAACTGGAAGTGGAAGCAATGAAACTCAGGTGGCCGATCCCTGAAACCCAAACTGTTTTTTCCCAACCGATCGCCTCACGGATGATCTAGGCAGAAGGGACAGTCCAAGGGCAACTACTCGGTGAGCAGCTCAACTTGGCAACCTGCTAGACATGCGCCAGTTCCCCCGAGGCAGGCAGGCAACAGCCGCGCCCTGACGGCGCATCGGCATAAATAACATGCTGAAGACATGCCTGGACAAACAAACATACAACGGGGAACGAGCGCCGGAGCCTTTGCCCCGGAGCCTCGCGAGGAAGGCTGCATCTGCACTAGAGGAAAGGGGAGGGCAGAGCAGGGAGGGAGGGAGGGGACGCGGGGGGGGGGAGGGGAGAAACAATCGACAACATTCTTCCACTATCGCG